AAATCGCAATAAACACCAACCGACGGCGCACACCAAACTCCCGCTGGCATACAAATACATCCATACGCTTCCACAATATTCCGCTAGCCAAAACAGACCTGGAACTATCCGACCAGTCTCCACGAGGCGAATATTACGTACCGCAAGCCCGACCCTCCACTCTGCGAAGACTACGAGAACAACTCTTAAACGGTCGGCCGGCGGCATCTGCCAACAGCAGAGCCAGCTAAATCACAAAAAGGAAGGAGGAGAGGAAGAGACTATAAAATTTTTCACAATTTTTGGAAAAAAAAAATAAATAAATAAAAAATAAAATAAATAAGTATTAAAATGATAAGTAGCAAACAAAATTATATATAAATTTTAGCTCTTCCATTTCAAAACTCCTCTGTTACTACACTTTTACCAAAAAAGAAAAGTAACCAAAACAATTTTTTCTTTTCCGACGACAGAAATTTTTCAATTCTTTTCTTTCTCTTACTTTTCTTTCCTTTTCTCTTTTAGTCCTTTCCCGCAAACGGTCATGCCTTCCTCCTTGTGATTTATGTGGCCATATAATATCAAATCAAAATTATAAATATATATCAGTGTTCAATAATATTAATCACATTGTTCCTTATCATCAACGTCTACCTCACTTAGGCATATTATACTATTATACACCTTACGTATTCTCTAAGACACTACTAGTAACATATGCTAACCTGTATTTCTTCTCTTCCACCAAAAAAAAAAAAATTTCTTTTGTAACAAAATGCAAGAAGAGGAGAATTCTTTTATTGCTCCCCGTTCATATTTTTATTCAGCACTCAAGACCCCCAACTTAAGAACGGCAATAAGACTCTTACTGACAATATGGGAGAAAAGGAAGAATCCAACTCGATCACCAGACCATCAGCCGACAAAACAACCCCTTATCTCAGCTCAACGCCGGTCAGTAATACGGCGGATGAACGCGCTAATGATTGTCAGGAAACATATGCACTGACTATCCAACACAGAGGAAAAAATCCAGAAACATCATGTGACCGGAAAGAACCGGGGCCCAAAGGAATCATTATCCAAAACCCGGAGTCGCAGCGAAAAGAAAATTCAGCGTTTCCTCCAGAAACAATTCAGCGATATCAGCGAATCAGACGAAATCTCCAGCCACTAATGAGGCCTCACGACATACTACTCACTCCTGACATGTACTCGCTACCAAACAACGCAGAAATCTTTCCATGCCATACTAGACAGACGCAGGCACACTTCATCTATAAAATGCTTGACGCTTTCCAGCACTTTCTGACTTCCTATAAAGAAGGGCTAGGCATTACTGTTCTGGCAAGCAGAGGAGCCAGACAAAAACTACAGGAAAAAGAGAAATGCACACGATTGGTATTTCTCAGTTATGTGAGCCTGCACTTGGAAGATTGGGAGGACTCGCTGTAGACAACCGTCTCGGGGAGTGTCAGTAAACCGCGAGTTTAGAAAAGAGATAATGACGAAAAATAGTGAGGTCACCCAGATGGTTAACGATCAGGGCACAGGAGGACAAACTCAATTGTAAACAATTTTAATTATTAAAAACTATTATTTACAGTAACAACTAGCAAATTCACACAGATTGCTAAAGGTCAGAGCATACAGGTCTAATCATAGCAATAATTCATGATTGACCTCAAGATCAACTACGACACCAATCTGGAGCTATTGACAACACGTTATAGATCTCCGTGTTGACCTGAAACTGTCATAGAATTGCTAACAGATTAATCGACGCAGGCTGTAAACATCAGCTTGATCTCGACAGATGGCAATCGTCTGAAGCACTATGTAAGTAAGTCTTGAAGTGTAAAGTGATCACTTCTATTTTTTTCCTGCGCTTGACCTTTGTTCCTCGTTTACTTCTATCTTCATTTTTCTAGTAATATTAGTTGTTAGTATATGCTTGACTAATATTTCTTGTATAAATCCTTATATCGCTCTGTTGTGTTCGTTAATGTGTTAATGTACAACTCATAACCTTCTGGTATGACTTTGTTAATACTAACATGGTTTGATTACCCAAGTTTGAGGTTTCGAATAAACGTTTTGAACCCAATAAGTCCCGCCTGGCAGGCACTATATTAACTCACAGGTTTACTATCAATAAATCTGTGGGTATACTGAAGAAAAGAGGAACAAATCTCTGGGACTCGGTACCTGACTCAGAGGACCAATCTGCCTCAACTGTCATCAGTAAGGAGAATTACTGGCAGAAGAAGAAAGCTGTAGCGACGAACCCACAACAACAAAAAAGAAATAACAATTTCAACTCCTTTCTTCACACTGCCTGTCAAAAAAGCGAACAACAAAAGGAGAAATGAAACAGTGCTCACAGTAGCCATTCTATAAATCACTGGTGTTTTGTCTCATACTGCGTTCTTTTATACACTTTCTCAAATGCGCCGT